TCCACCCCGGCAGATAGGAGTCAGGAGGGCTCCACCCTGGCAGATAGGAGTCAGGAGGGCTCCACTTGGAAGACAGGAGGTCACTGCCTGGAAGTCAGGTGGGCTTCACCTAGGAGAGGTGGAAGCCAAAAGCAGCAAGGGGCTGCTAGAGACTAGCTGTGTGCTAGAGGCCAGCGGTGTGCAAGTGCCATATTTTTGGGAAGAAGTCTGCAGGAGACAGACAGCAAGCTGAGTGTAAGCCAGGAGGCTGAACCATTGTTTTGTGGATGATCGATACCCCTGTGTGGGAAACTTCTGTTTGAACTTTCATTTAAATAAAAGTGGGCTAAAAAGGCCCTGAAAAAGAAAGCGAGTAGCTGTTTGCGTTTAAAAGCTCTACCACGTTGAAGCGAGTTCCCACAATATATATATATATATATATATATACACACTGTATATATATGTGTATGTGTGTGTGTGATTTTGTACAGCCCTGCCGCACTGTAGCAGTATTTGTGCTATAGGGCAGCGGGGGGAAGCGGCTAATCTGCCGACACAAAACCAGGCCTCCAACTGAAGGCCAGTGCAAGAACAAATAACTGAATGAAAGGCGTAAAGACAAAAAAGTTATCAGAGAGCGGTATTTATAGCACACAGTAATTTTCATAGGTAGCCAGACATAATGAATCTAAAAATGTGCGTGTGTAAAAAAGCATATGAAATATTGGGTTAAAAAAACATATAAATGCCACCCAGTAGTCATATAAAAGACCCCAGATATCTCCATAAAGAGGACCTGTCACTGCTCCAACGATTACAAGGGATGCAGTTCATCCCTTGTGATAACCAAAAAAGTGATACAAAATGTAAAGAGACAGCGTAAAAAAAAAAATTGAAAGCACCCCTGTCCCCCCATGTTCATGCGCAAAGCTGAACACATACATAGGTCACCCACGTATATGTGGTATCGCCGCAAATGTTATAGTGAGAGCAATAATTCTAGAACCAGACCTCCTGTGCAACTCTAAACTGGTAACCTGTAAAGGCTTTTGCCTACAGAGATTTTTAAGTACCATAGTTTGTCACCATTCCATGAGTGTACGCAATTTTAAAGTGTCACATGTTAGCTGTTTGCTTGACCTAACATCATTTTTAAAACTTTACCAAACAATTGGGTATTATGTTGTTTTTGTGTGCATTAAAATTCATGAAAGTATATTTTTTTACAAAAAAAAATGCATTTGAATAACTGCTGCAAAAATAACAAGTGACATAAAAAAAATTGCAACACTCATCATTTTATTCTCTAGGGCAGTGGTGGCTAGCCTATGGTACACGTGCGCCAGAGCCCTCTCTGTCGGCACGCTAGCGCCAAGTCACTCCAGCAGCTGAGTATCTGCTAACGGCGCACATAGGGACCTTTGGCCTGCAGATGAGAGCGCATGGCCCTGCTGCAACCACATGCTTGTGGCGGTCTGAACATCTCCTATTGAGGATATTCGATAGCTTTGAAGTGGATTTTCAATTCTGCAGATTATTACTTCTTGGAGCTCATCCTGCAAAATTCCTATTGTTGCTGTCATCATATTGAGCACCGCTCCCAGAGAAAAAGCGCTTTATGCTGGTTTATCATATATCAGCATATTGCTCTGGTGAGTTTTATTTAACCGATTTTGGTGGTGGATTCACTTGGTGATATTATATTTTTTGGACACTATTGATTATTTGAACTTTCATATTTTTGGACTTTATTTTTTGCTGTATTTTATATTATTAGTTTTTTTCTCACTGATTAGTATTGGCTTCATATATATATTTGTATATACTTAAGCGCAACCTGTTTTTTATATATAGGGGCCAATGTGCATGCTCGGAAAGGAGTAGAGCTTCTATAGGACCGCGCATGACTGCAGGGAGGGGTTATCGGTTACTTGGCTACAGAACTGCTGAGAGAGCGGGGAGCAGAGAGCGGAGGCAACAGACCTCGGACCAGAGAGACCATCATCCGTAAGATCTGGACTGGAGGGTCCGGTGATCAGTGACAGTCTAGTAAGTCCTCCTCACCTGCAGCCTCCTCCATCTGTCCGATCACTTTGCTGGGGCCCCCGGGCTGCCTTCCATCACCAGTCCTGACAAAGTGCATTGTGCAGTGTCAGTGAGCCCTAATAGGATGACATTTAGTTGGTAAAGCACAGTGTATTATAACAAGTGGTGTTTTTTTCTATTTTTCCCACAGAGTTCCATTTCCTTTTTTTCTGTAATCCTAGTGCTGTAGTTCTCGTTCCATGTGTACTCACTCCACTGTCAACTACACATTATTGCTGATTCCTGTTCAGAAATGTGGGTGTACCACACTGGGATAATATATACTTTCACTGCAGTAATTCTACATTATTCTCAAATCATTTGTTACTAATCACCAGTTTTCAGAGTCAGTTTAGATCTTTCAAATGGTATTCAGACCAAAATAAAAATGTAATATATTGCAGTTTAGTATTAGTTTTCTTTTTCTTAGGCTTTTTGATTACCTGGTGATCATGCAAGTAATACACTTCATCACTTCTTGTCTACGGCTAGGTTCACACTAGCCTGCACCTTGCGGGCTGGTTGCGGAACCACAACCACCTGCAGCCGCATTGCGCTTCTCTTCCAAGACTCGGGGGGTACCATTCATTCTGAATAGCACCCCCATGCATCTCATCCTGCAGCGTGATCACAGGTGCAAGAAACGCACAGAAAAGACCATGCAGTTTCCATGCAGATGCATTTCAGATAAGGACCTTTTTCTAAACTGTCACCCAAACCGTACTCTCCGCTCCTTGCAAGACCTCCTACTCTCTAGCTCTCTTGTCTCCTCCTCCCATGCTCGTCTCCAGGACTTCTCCAGAGCTTCCCCCATCCTCTGGAACTCTCTACCCCAGTTTATCAGACTATCGCCTACTCTGCTCACTTTTAGGCGATCCCTGAAAACCTATCTCTTCAGGGAAGCCTATCCTGCCCTCAGCTAATACTGGAATCTTCTACTTTTCCTACCAGTTCATCCCCCACAGTTACTACCTTTTGTACCACTAGCCCCTCCCTCCTAGATTGTAAGCTCCAAGGAGCAGGGCCCTCAAATCCCTCTTGTATTGAACTGTATTGTTGCTGTATTGTCTCCCATTATATTGTAAAGCGCTGAGCAAACTGTTGGCGCTATATAAATCCTGTGTCGTAATAATAATAATAAACTAAAGCTGGCCACACACGTACAGATTTTCATTAGAGAATTTTTGTTTCAAGAATATTCGTTTGATTTTCTAATCATTAGTGGGGTCAGATCGATATTTGTTTTCGACAGCAGTGATGGGCAAATTCGAAGAGGCAGGAAGGAAAACTTTTCTCGATCAAATGAATTTTTGAGCAATGTATGTGGTGATCGGTCAGAAATTGCATTCATTTTAAACTTGAATGTTAAAAGCAAAAGAAAATTTTCGAATGACATTCGTCCATTCACCAAATGTTCAAAGAATTTTCGTACAAATATTCTTATCCAAAAATCTACAGGTGTATGGCCAGCTTAAAACCTCAGTATTCAGGTTTAACCACTTCCCATCCAGCCCATGTATATAAACGGCCGGACAGGAGCAGTGCAGGGGCAGGTGGCCATTTAAAAACGTCCTCCCCGCTTGTGCGCACTCCCTTGGGGCGCGCAGCACCGCAATCCGGTGCCCACTGTGTCCGGAGGACATAACGGAACACAGATCGTTGTACAGGACCTCTGTGTGAGGTCCCGATCATGTGATCACTGATTGGCCAATCAGTGATCACATGAAGAGTAGTAAGCAAGATGTTACCTCTGACATCATTGCTTACTACGTGTGACATCTGTGACAGCCTTGTACCATCTGACAAGCTGTAACCAATCACAGCTCACACAGTATTTCTCAATGGCTGCAAGAATGCAGTCAGAGAGGAGAAATGATTGCTTTTACAGCCTTTATGGGTGTAAAAGCAATCAGTGTAAAAAAAAAAAAAACTTCATTACCCTCCACAAGTACTACAGTGTCACCATGGTAGCACTGCACTGCTAGGGTGAAAATATGTTAAAAAATAAATAAATATAAAAAAAATAAAATAAAAATGTAAAAAAACTTTTAGAAAAATTATAATTTTGGATTATAAACTAATTCAGATTTTTTTTTTTACTAAAAAGATAACTGAATACATTTTGGCCAAGATTTATGAAGAAAGATTATTTATGTGCAAAATATTATAAGAAAAACACTTTATTTCAAACTTTTTGGACATTTTCATTTACATAGCAAACAAAATATAAATCTCAGTGGTGAATAAATACCACCAAAATAAAGCTTTATCTGTCTCAAAAAAATGCTAAAACATTCATATGGGTACAGTATCGCAATTGTCAAAGTGTGATAGCACTAAAAGCTGAAAATTGGCCTGGACAGGAAGGGGGTGAAAGTAACTTGAAGTGGTTAATTGCGGTGTTGGCACTTTGCGATAAATAAGTGGGTTTTGCATTGCAGTTTGGGCACGGGGTCTCTAAAAGATTCGCCATTACAGCTCTATTGCCTCTGCTTAAAAAAAATATGGGGGTTCTAAGTCATTTTCAAGTCAATTATGCTGATTTCTACATGTAGGAGAGGAAGGTCAAAATGACCTGGGTTAAAAAAAAAAAAAATAACACAGCCACCACATCTAAGGACTAACAAACTGCAAAAAAATCACAGTCACAATTACAATTCTGTAGCTATCAATAAAGCTGCACAGTGAAAAAAAACAGAAGCCGGAAGTTAAGGAGGGGCGGATTATGGACGCGCACGGCCGCCCCTGACGTCAAGAAACAGTTCTGTTGCTGGGCAGCTGCATAGGCATTGTCATGTGACCGCGCAGCTACTCAGTCCGCCGGGAACGAGCTGCGCGTGCGTGTTAAGTGTGTAGTACCAGCGGGAGCAGCAGCCTGAGGTTCCGCGTTGCCTGTGTGACTCGAACACCTAGTGTCAGCATCCTGCTGCTTAGACATGGGCTGTTTCTTCTCTAAGAAAGCCAAGAGGAAGGGGAGCGCCAAGGAATCGGGACCCGCAGAGCAGCAGCAAGATGGGCAGGAGAGCAAGCAGTACAGCTGGGACAAGAGGGAGAAGGTGAGCGCTGTGATTGGTGGTCTACCTAGGATTGTGTGTGGGCTGTGCTCTGATTGGAGGATCAGCCCTCCCTGTGTGTGAGTACACTGTGTGCCCCTGACTGGTGCTCTACCCTACGTAGGTGTACATAGACTTCTAGGTGTGTCCTGATCACTCCACATTAGGAAGACAGCCAGTCCTCCATTGTATGGGAAGTGACTTCAGTCTGTCCTGATTCCACTCCTGGTGTGTTCAGATGTGCCTGAGATGTGGGAGTCCCCAGACACAGTCTGTCGGTGTATCTACAGCTGACTAATCCTTTTTCCTTGGTAAGATGTGGATGGAGTGGAGAGGGTACAGGACCCCTATCAGGGATCTATAGCTGTCTGTTTCCCCAGTAAGGACATTTTGTTTACTCGTGTTGATCACTGTCCCTGGGGAAGTGATGGAAACACTAATTTCAACTGTTTCAATTAAACTGAAAACCGTGCAAGTGAATGCAGCTCTGCGGGATAATGGCAGACACATTCCATGCTTCGGTAGATGACATCATTTGTTGGTGAACTTTTAATTCATTCATCTTCCTGGTTCTCTTTGGGCACTGTTGACATCACAGGCTTCTTCCGGCTGCCCCCCTGGGAAGGCTGCGTCACGTGCGCCTTCCGGCTGCCCCCCTGGGAAGGCTGCGTCACGTGCGCCTTCCGGCTGCCCCCCTGGGAAGGCTGCGTCACGTGCGCCTTTGCCCCCGTCAGGCTGCGTCACCTGCCTTCCGGCTGCCCCCCTGGGAAGGCTGCGTCACTTTGCGCCTTCCAGCTGCCCCCTGGGAAGGCTACGTCACCTGCGCCTTCCAGCTGCCCCCCCCCGGGAGGTTTATGTCACCGTTGCCTTCCAGCTGCGCCCTGGGAAGGCTACAGCCTATGTCTCAGGTGCCTTGTTGCTAGCCCTTGAGAAGGCTTTGTCACCAGTGATTTACTGCTGCCCACTGGGAAGGTTATGTCACCGGTGCCTTGTCTATGCTCTCTGGGAAGGCTACGTCATTGGTACCTTCAAGCTGCTCTCTGGGAAGGCTTTGTCATCAGTGCCTTGTAGATGCTCACTGGGAAGGCTACGTCACAGGTGCCTTCCAGCTGCTCCTTGGGAAGGCTACCTCACCAGTGCCTTCCAGCTGCCCCCTGGGTAGGCTGGGTTGCCAGTGCCTTCCAGCTGCCCCCCGGGGAGGCTACATCGTCAGTGCCTTCCAGCTGCCCCCCGGGGAGGCTACATCGTCAGTGCCTTCCAGCTGCCCCCCCGGGGAGGCTACGTCGCCAGCCTTCCAGCTGCCCCCCCGGGGAGGCTACGTCGCCAGTGCCTTCCAGCTGCCCCCCCGGGGAGGCTACGTCGCCAGTGCCTTCCAGCTGCCCCCCCGGGGAGGCTACGTCGCCAGTGCCTTCCAGCTGCCCCCCCGGGGAGGCTACGGTTGCCAGTGCCTTCCAGCTGCCCCCCCGGGGAGGCTACGTCGCCAGTGCCTTCCAGCTGCCCCCCGGGGAGGCTATGTCACAAGTGCCACTGGAAACTGGTGTTTTAGGCCTGGGGAGGCTACGCCACTAGTGTCTTCCAGGGAGATCTCGTGTAAAATGCAAGATTTCAGGTAAAAAGCCTGTTTTCTTGTTCTTGTTTATACGTCGCCATGGCTTCAGTTACATATGCGTGTAAGGTAGCAGAATGATGCTCATGTTGCTGAAGCCATGGCATTGTATAAAAAATGACAAACTGCATCACACCCCATACAGCATGTGCTCAAGATTTGGTGCTGATGTCACTGGTGGACCAGCACATAAAAGGCAAAAGAAGCTGTCCACCGATGACATCTCCTGTGTCATGGTTTTACACGAGGACGTGGACCAGAGCATTAGCATATGGGAACACAGAAAGAAACGAGGCAAGCAATAACAATTCAAAGTATTTATTTGATATAAATGTCATCAATGGTGGCGGTTTCATAGAAGGAGGAGAGGAAAGTCCACATTAAGTTGTCACCAGAACAGTAATAGAGTGGAAATTTTTCAGTGTGGATGATCTAAAGACCACTGTAGAAGAGGACGACTGAAAAACAAATGGAACTTTTACTGGTCATCCCATTTATCTCCTTTATTTGATTGTAGAAGAGGGCATTTCCTTCACTTTGCAGAAATTTTCTCTCACTTCCTATTATGTCTACAGGGCAGGAAATGAAGTTAAATCTTCTCAAAATGTCACATACAGTGGAAAAAATAAAACCAACTGTTTTTAACTATCCCCTACACCACCCAAAACGTAAAAAAAAAAGATAAATAACCCGGCTGTCATCTCTAAGAGCCATATTGTACAGGCAAACTTGACGTATCAGGATCGTCATGAGACCACTTGCCAGTCTATGGAATCATTCCCTTTTTAGCTGAGCCCGGAGATGTCGTTCTTTCACTGTCTCCTTGCTGGAAGGGGAGATTGAACATGCATCATTTCTGGTGTCCTTTTTATTGGGAACAGTGGGGTGTTGTATCATTGGAGGCTTGTCACTGTATCAAAACCACATTTTTTTTATTTTCCAGTACATGTTATTTTTCAACTTCCTTGAACAGACCAAGCTGTCCAGCACAAGGCAGTAAGAGGACAAACCATGTTGCCATGTGCTTTGTAAAACCAAAATACCTCTAATGATGGTAACGTCCATTCTGGATCCTTGCTGTGTAGTTTCAAACTCATAGTATCACTGAGGCTGGAACATACAGGCAACACTGTACTTCTGGCGCTGCAGCTCCAACAGTGAAGGATCCTTTCATTTTCCTTCAATTTCTCTCCCCTCATCCATTCTCAAAAAAATAGCCTTGTATCTGTTTGAGCAGATGCCTTTTATCTGAGGAGCAGATGAACAATAGGATCTAATAGAGAAAAACAAAACAGAGGGCGCACCGGCCTTGTGCATTACCTTTAAAAATATGTTTATTACATTTAAAAGAAGGTTCTACTCCCAAAAGTACATGAAAATAAGCACATCACGTGAGACCGCTCTGTCCAATTCGCACTGCGTTTCTGAATGGTGATGAGAATGATGGACATGCAAAATGGCTGGCGCGTTTCGAGAATTAGCTTCTTCCTCAGAGCCTAACTACCTAGATGTCTGTCCCTCTCTTTTATATATGCTCAACAATGAATAAACAATTGTTAACCAGGGGCCGTCCCACGGACTCTCAGGGGTGGGGCGCAATAAAGTGGGAGGTGCTGACATACTATATACATACAATAACTGCAATGAAATAAGCACATCAAATCCACATATAGGAAATGCAAACATCTCTATCTGAATAATAGGATCTACCCTTGTCCATTATCATAATGCCTTATACAGATACAAGGCTTTTTGTGAATGGACACAGGGAGAGGAATGGGAGGGCAAATGAATGGAGCCCTTCTCTGTTGCCGGTGCAGTTCGTAATCCTCACAACTTTGGAAATATAGTGTTGCCTATGTTTTCAAGCTTTGAGTTTGAAACTACACAGCAGGGATCCAGACCTGATATTACCATCATTAGTGTCACCATACATGTTACAATATGTACAATCAACTTTAGATTTACCAAAACTATGCACTACAAAGACCTAACCAAAGTATCCAATCAATTTGTAAGCAGCAAGCAGCAGGGCTCACCTGTCAGGTGGAAGCATTTGGGGGGGCAGTGCTGCAACCTGATTGCTTCCACACAGCCCACGGTGCCAGCCTCTGCCTCCACGTGTGAACCTCCCCCCAAGCACATAACACCCCCTCAAAGAAAAAAAATTTGAGGCCCACCCCCACATATACGCACATACAAAAGTAAAAGCACACACCGGGGCGCCTGCATATGAAATCGATGATTGCAATACACGTTACATATCGCCACGCACGCCGGAATGAGAGCAGTAGTTCTTGCACCAGACCTCCTTCGTAACGCAAAACTGATGACCTATAAGGAGCTTTAAAAGAGTCGCCTATAAAAGATATAGGGTACTGAAGTTTGTCGCCATTTCACGAGTGCACCCAGATTTTAGGTTTGACATGTTGGTTATCAGTTTACTTGGTGGAACCTCATCTTTAAGTTTTACAAAAAAAATAGGGTAATTCATTGATTTTGTGCCCTAAAATTAGTTTTGTGTATTTTTTTACTGAAATTTTGCGTTTTCTAGACCTTTGCGGTAATATCATGCAACATAAAAAATTGGAACTACCACTATTTTATTCTCTAGGGTTTCTGATTTCAGAAAATACATAATTTTGGGGGGTTTTGTGTAATCTTCAGGCCTAAAATGATTTTTTAAAACGTGTGCAAAAAATGGCTCTGGCAGCAAAAGGGATAAAGGATAAGCCCGATACTCCCCTTTCCTAATGAGCACCCAATTGGTGCAAGGTCTCTCTCCTCCCTGCTAGTCCCTGGGTGCGGTGCTGGAGATGGGAGGAGAGGAGGCGATAAACAGCGCAATGTTAAAAACCTCAGATTTAAATACAGTTTTGGTTAAAGTTGATTTTTTTTCTTTTTTTTTTTCATCAGAAGTAGATTGTCATGGGGGACAAGTAGATTGGGACATCAATTTAGTCCCTGGACAAGTAGTTTTTTCAAAAATGTCCACACTTCTGAACCTAATAAATGGTTTTGGTAAATCTAAAGGAAATTGTACAAAAAAATTGTATAAATGTGTGTCCAGTTTTAGAGATCACTTGTTTTTTACAGAGCATATGGCCAAAAAAATATTTCTGAGTTCAGCTTTTGTGATTGTAAACCCATATTATTTTGCACAGTAGCACTGACCCTCCTTTTCTGGGGTTCCCTGCTAGTGCTCCTGTCTCCTTCCCCCCTGCCGAAGTGCCCCTATTTCAAGCCACTTACTATGGGGGCACTGCTGCAGGCTCGCTCCTGAGCCACACTCCGTGTGTCCATTGACACACACAGCGTAGCTCAGCCCTACCCACTCCCTCCGCTCCAGCTGTGATTGACAAAAGTGGGAGCCGGTGGTGAGCCTATGAGAAGGGAG